GGGTTTTATCACCACCTATTTTTTGCAATTTTAAGTGTGCAATTTCAAAACAGTATCATTATGCTTTATTGTTGTGAATAACTGTTTAGTGTCTGTGCCCACGGTAATATGAGAGATTGTGTATTAGATAGAAAATTTTAAAACACTGAGTTCAAGGAAGAGAGTGGGGAAAGGGAGCCACTGTGACTAAAAGGGCCCATGCCAGGAAATACATTGGAACACATAGGGTATTTCACAGATGGCCTTTGTCTCTTTTCTCACCAAACACAGGAACAGTCAACTGGAAGCTAACAAGAAAAGTGTCAGTCGACTAATAATGGCAGTGGTGGCATCAGTCATCAAATTCAGGGTATAGCTGTTGAATTGATTGTGAGCCAAGAAATTTTTTTTTCTGTATGTCTGAACAGACACTTGATCAAATTTCCTCCTGTGAAATCTGAAGCCAGGGACCTTATACATTTTAAGATTAAGTTACTCTTATGTGTGGAAGTTTAGAGGACAGCTTAGTGATGGCAGCTGGCTCTCACTGGCCAAAGAAGACAGAGTAGGAGCCCACAGTGTGTCTTTCAAAGCATTCTTTCCCCCTTTAAGCATGACTTCAGCTCTGTCTTATGAAACAAATGGTGGGTATTCTTCCAGTCATGTCTCGGCACCATATGATGTGTAGTTCGCATACATGGAACCCTGTGAGATCACAAGTACAATTGCGCAGGAAGTAAGGGAAGGAGGGTGCCCGTGATTGACTACTAACACTGAAGGCAGAGGAAAAGCAGTAGTCTTCCTTCCAATGATGGAAGAAACATTGTTAAATTATGTAACAACCACGAAGTCCTCTTATGGAATTATATCCACCTCTTATAGTCAAGTTGGCTGGCTCTTCCGTCTACAGGCTGTCTTGTGGTTTGTCTGGATAGATAGAACACCATGATGGAATGAATACCAAGAGAATCAGGAGCATAAATCTCCAGATGCCTTAAAGCTTGGGGCTTCCACCTTTTGGAAAGCTGCCCTGAGACACAATCTGGCTAGTTGGTTTACAGAAAGACCTTGTAAGAATGAGAGAAGCCCAGTTATTCTCACTGGACCAACCGAGGCAAACCTCAGCTGACTACTAAGCTGAACAAGACCCAGGAGGGACGCTATGACTCACTTTTAGCTTTATAGTTGATCACCTTAGGGAATTACACAGTGGGAACCAAGGACCACTGATGTAGTGACTCTAGTTTATAATTTCTTTTTTTTTTATTTTTTTGTTTTTTTGAGACAGGGTTTCTCTGTGTTTTTTTAAGTTCTTAAAAATTATGTGTTCAGGAATATTGCCTGCATGAATTTCTGTGCTCTGTGTGCACACCTCATGCCTACAGAGGCTAGAAGAGAACAACAGGATCATCATGGACCTGGAGTTACAGGTGGTTGTGAGTCACCGTGTAGGTGCTGAGAATCAAACCTGGATCCTTCGCAAGAGCAGCCAATGCTCTTAACCACTGAACCATCTTTCCAATCTTTTTATTATTATCATGTTTTATTACAAGAAAAAATAAGGTCAGATTTGAAAGTGACCAAGAGATATGAGGACATGCTTTTCTTTTTCAAAAATTTATAGGGTTAACTGGAATTCAAATATGATTTTTCATTCTCAACATTGAAAGATTTTTCCTTTGCTTTTAATTTGAGAACTCATTCTCCAAGGTATATGAAAATATCACAAAACTAAATTTAAATATTATTCTAATATGGATTAACAATGAATTAGAAATTTGAGAGTTGAGGGTTAAATAGCATTTAGATTATTCCCTCAACCAAGGAAACTAATAGCATTTGTAAAAATAGGATTAGGGATTTTTTTCCCCTTAAACTTCTCAGCAAAGCAAAAGAAATATCTACAATCAAATTATCCCCAAAGCCTTAATTAAAGTCAGATCCTTAAGGAGAGTTCAAATTCCTTGGGTTTATGCTAAGCCACACAGAGATGCATCAAACAAATATTTCTCAGTTCATTTTCAAATACTTCATACTAGCATCCTTTTATTCTTATGAACCCACATGTTTATGACCTAACGTTAAATAAACATGTCTCTACACACCAGCATGAGATCATTTCCGTAAAGAATGCTGCTTGTTAGGCATTCTTTCCTATATGCCCTCTTATCGAAATTCTGGCAAGCATTCCATGAGACTTAATTAATTTGCAACATCCAACCTTTCCATTATGAAGTTTTTTCCCAAGGTGTCACTAGCGAATCTGGGGCAAAATACATTTGTACATAAGTTCAAATATAATGGTAAAAGCTGACTGGAAATCCTGTATTTGCAGCAGGAGTTATATTCGGAGTTGCCATAGCAGCCACCCACGTTCTCTCTCACACACAAAGGGGTGGTGAGGAAAAGAGAAGAGAGCAGTTAGCAGAGAACAGAATCTATTGTTGCAAAGACAGAGGTACCCATCAATGTAATTACAAGCAGGGATCCTAATTCTTAGTCTGAACGGCAATTAATGATAGAAGATTCCTTAGCACCGGGCTACTCTCTAATCTCATCACCGTCTGCACCCCCAGCTTTAAACTGTACTAGATGGTGAAATAATGTAGGAAGAAGAGGGCTGTTGGCTAACTATGAACATATGAGCTATCAAAATTTAAAGTTCCCCTATCTAAGGCATCTTGAAGACCATTATCACCAAGAAAATCTATGGGTCAATGGATCTGAACAAAGGACATCACTTTCTCAGTATCTCTGACTATAAAAGGGTAGAATGAGTACATACAGCTACAAAGTGTTATGCACATTTTTAAAAATTATTGCACTTAATAGATTATTAAATATAAATAATTATTAATAGATGTTGAGGTGTATTATCATTAAAATTTAGTTTAGTAATAAGTGAGTAAAGGTGAAGCCTGAACCACAATAAGTGCCCAAGAGATGTTTGCTAAGGTCATTATAATTAATTATTATTAACACATTACTTTTTATGGCTAGAACAGGGCAGTGTACAAAGCATGAGTTTCCAGAAGAAAGGCTTACAGGTGTTCAGCAGAAGAGAGCTAAGATAAAACGTGAAGATTCTTTTAGAACATAAGAGGCTGATGCACTGTCCCATAGCAATGTATTTGAAGGACTATTTAGGATACTAAAAGGCTAAGCATTTTATTCTAGTTGCATATTCATAGCCAGGGACAAAGGACTGGATACACAGCAAAATCTAACTTCTATTAGTGCTAAAAGAGGGTACCATATCTGGCTTCAGAAAGCACGATGCAATTTCCCTTCCATCACTTGTTTGATCACATATTCATGTGCAGATATATTTAGAGTCTCTATACAAATATAAAAATTCAGCATCAGATTTAGCTGAAGGCATAGATGAAAGATTGCCTTCTGATTCACTCATTTCGAATCTTCCCCGTGTGACTGAGTACCGCATATCCTAGCAGGAGGAGCCTGTAGTCACGCAATGGGGTGAATAGGGAAGAATATGTGCGTTCACACATTTCATTCAGTGGCAAGAGGTACCTTTCCTGCATAGGAGAATGCAAAGCTGATAGACTAAGGAAATTGAAGAATTCGAGGAACATCCAGATTCGGAGGGACAGAGTGAAAAGGCAAGAAGGAAATCGTGACAAACATTTCACAGCAATCAGCAGGAAGTGGGGGCAAAACAATAGGATAAGCTTCACTTCAGGACAGTGAGGGGTACAATTATCACGGCTTATAAGCTTTCGCAAGTCCCAGTCCAGACACTTAAGAAGCTAAAGTGAACTGATTGCCAAAAGTTTGCGGCAAGCTTAGGTTGCATAGTCGATTCTAGACCCATCTGGAAACAAGCAGCAATCCTACCTTTAAAAAGATGAACAACAACAGCAAACTCTTCAAGTCTGTACTTTGTGACCTCTAGATTTATCTTGCACTGGAAATGCTATGAACATTGGTACTACTTAGTAATCTTTATTTCCAGTCTTAGAGAGACGTATCACTACCTAACACTCGAGACACTCTCTGCTTTCAGTGGTAGCCTGATGTGATTGTGTTAGAAACACTCCCACCATCAAAGAGCTTCTGGAGTATAAAAATAATCCCGAGTTTTCCCAAGTTACTAGAAATAATTGAATATGGTTTCAGACTGGGCTGGATTTTTATTTTTTATTATTTTACAAACCTTTTCTTGATAAGGTAAATCCAGAAAGGAATAGATCTGAAAGCCACTGAGAAGAGGCTCCAAAGATATTTATGTCCTTTGTGTTTCTCACCACGTTTTATGGTCAAGCCTACAGAAAACAAGTTTGGAGTTCAAGCCCACAACTCCAACCTCCTGGTGAAGCTGAGAAAGCTGATGGCTTGCACGTTGGAGTCAAGCTCTTCCTGCCAAGGTTGCCCTTTTCTCCTTCCCTGCTGTCAGTAATACAATCAGCTGTGACTGCTCATCCCCACTTCAAGGTCTTAGGATGCCTCTACTCAGAGCCTGGCTCCTCTCACCAAAACAATGTCAAATACTGAAGAATAAAAGGACAACGTAATTTCTAAAGATATTTTGGTTAGTTCGGTGAGGAAAGATCAGAATACTGATTGAGACTTTATGAGGATGTAATTACCAATAACAGAAAAGCTTTCTAAAATAAGAGTCCCTTTTTTCCCAGGGCCAGGCAATCAGAGAGCTTGAGTAGGCAGCCAGGAGCCCAGACAGTTCTCTAAATTATGCTATTAGAACTTAGTGGGGAATGCGCAGAACAAATTTGTTTCTGTTAAGTCTTATTAAGTATAAAGGCGAATATATTTACAAACAGAAATTCCAATCGCAACATTTTTAATGTAATCAGCTACCCACACATGACCTCAAGAGAACCAGCTGCATTAAGATTGTTCACAGTACAACCAGCAATCGTTAAGAATAGATTGAATATTAGTTTTCTCTAGTCAACTCTCATTACAGCGCAGGAAAGAATTTCATACTTGGAAAAGGGAAAAGACATCCCAAGCAATAGGCATTGTTGATCATTCCTTACCGTCAGATACATGGCAGCATAGACGCTGAGGGCAGCTTCTTTGGATGGGAAGGTTTTCCTTGCTCGCATGATGAGATCTGGGTTGCCTGTGCACGCTTCCTCCCCACTGATGAACTGTGTGTACTGTTGACACCCAAGAGCTGTGTAATTGGGCTTACACAAGGCCAGGAAGTGTGGAGCCAGGTTGCCCGTGACCACCTGTCCAGCATTTACAAAGATATCCGTAGCAAACAGTCCAAACGTATAAATTCCTGGAGAAGAAAGAAAACAAACAGTGTTAGCTTTCTTCTTCTTTAACTAAAAAAGTATTCTATAACAATTCAATATGAAAATATTTTAGTAACTATAACACATTCCATACATGCACATAATCAGTTCTTTCCATTTTACATATTCCCTAGTTTCTTCCTTGACTAAGTTTTGTTTATAACAAATCTTGTCGTCAACAAAAATCATATGCAAAAGACGTAACCTTCAAAGATATGGTTATGATGGGAAGAGATGCACTGGTTTCTAATTTGAGGTAATAAAATTCACTAGAATTTTCATTTTATTTTGATTATTTTCAAGGCTTATTTATTTTATATGGCATGTATGTGTTCATCCGAGTGTATATTTGCGTACCACATTTGTGCAGGTTTCCAAGGAGATCAGAAGAGAGCATTTCAGATCTCCTGGAGCTGGACTTATGGGTGGTTGAGAGCCACTGGATGTGGGCATTGGGAATAAAACCCAAGTCATGGTAGAAACAGAATGTACTTTTAACTTTTGAGCCATTTCTCCATCTCCAAGGATTTTTAAACTTACAGCAAAATAATATTTCCCAAAGAATTGGCCTATTGAAAAACCATATTGATTTTATTTACATAAATAAATGTTTTTATTTCCTTCTTAGTTGTACATTTTGGAACTGTTTGTTTTTCTGAGCCTTCCATCATGACTTGCTATTGTATTGGGAAGTCATCATAAAAGTTGCAAAGGATTAAATAATTTTCCAGTATTAGATCCATGGATTTTTTTAATCTTCAAAATATTATGTAAGATTTCTTTATGCACAAAAAATACACATAACAAAAATCTGAGTATCCAAATGTCAAGGTGATAGAAACATTGATTTTTCTATTTTAAGTTTCAAAAGAAAACAGCACAAATTCCTTTCCTGATTCTTAGCAGTTGCCATGAATCACACCAAGGAAAGGCTGTGAAAGGCAGAAACTCAGGAGAGGCAGAGAAGGTAGCAAACTGAAGCCAATAAGATGCTAGCGTACATAAGCTGTCCTTCAAAAACCTCAAAGCTAAGCCCTGGCATCCACATCTGTACTCCTTTGAAATGTAGGCTAAGATGCACTCATTTCTTAACTAAACTGCTCTTTTTATCTAGTGTTAATAGGTCCCTTGTTTAAAATAGAAATATTTGGGAAGAATATAGAAATGTCTCTTGATACTTGAAAAGTTCCCGAATATGTTTTAAAACCAAAATGTCAGTGTCTCACGTCCAAAGCCGGTATTGCTGTTGATGGCACAGATCATTTGTGAAGTGGGATCTCATAGGCACAACCACCCTTTTGACAGAAAGCACAGGGTACCTATGCAAAGTGCAACCTCTTTATGCAGTGTGGCTTTAGTGACAGGCTTTCATTTTCTTACAACAGATTTGAAACTTCATGTCACCATGGGAACGAAGTGAAAGAAAATGTATATAATCAGTAAGAAATATGTTGAGTAGTGGGCACACCTTACTTTGTGGTACATGTTCTTCACAAATGCAGGCCAATGCAGAGAATGTTTTCTTCAAGGACACAACTGACTGGGTTCAATAGTTCTTAGGAAAGTATTGATTTCAAGTACTTTTAGTTTTGCAGATGCCACAGATGCCATTGATCATTACTTATATTATTATTAAATGGATCGTTTCCAAAGAGAAATGTGTCAAGAGCACATTACTTACACGAAGAAAAAAATTTAAGGTATATATACATATATACCTTAAATATGAATATTTTATATCATTTTACATAATATTTATTTATTAAAAATATTTATATATTTTATATAATATTCCTTCAAAAGATACCTGGGGGATTTGGAGATACCTAATTTGATACTAGTGAAAAGTTCAGTTTTCCAAATACTCTGCCGGGCGGTGGTGGCACACGCCTTTAATCCCAGCACTCGGGAGGCAGAGGCAGGCGGATCTCTGTGAGTTCGAGACCAGCCTGGTCTACAAGAGCTAGTTCCAGGACAGGCTCCAAAACCACAGAGAAACCCTGTCTCAAAAAACCATAAACACACACACACACACACACACACACACACACACACACACACACAAAAAAAAAGAAAGAAAAGAAATCCAAATAAAGACCCTAAGCCTTCAGAGCTGCCTATGGTCCTGATTCTTCTATGTCTCGTCTCTCGTGTAGCAGCTATGGAACAGTGTGCTGTTTTCTGTCTCCAAAGCTTTCATCTTGAGACCCATAACATGAGACACACACTGAAAAGTTGCAGGCTTTTTGGTGAATCTCTCAGTGTTCATCAAAATTCATCTTGCATGCTTTTTAATACACACAGTTGTGATCATTTTAATCTAACACACCAGGAAGTGATAATTTACAGTAAACTTGGTTGTCTAATAAACTGGGTTTCTCTAAATTTCTATTGAATTACAAGGATGCTTAGTAATTTGCCATTTTGTTAAGTGATGACCTTTTCATGGTGAATGCTAAAGCATCAGTGTCTCTTGTTTTCTAACAGAAATGTCACTATAACTCAGTTTTCATGAAAACTAGCTCAGGACTAGTGCAAGGAGAACAGCATATTAAATATGATATTCCTCCTTGTGCCACGTCACCACTCAGGATAATATTACTCATCATGTATTCATTCTGTAACTTTATATACACACTAAGTCATTTAGTTTAATTGCATACATGCTATTTTCTAAAAAAAAAATAATATTCAGGGGTTACAGTCTTTCCTTCTTAATGTGGAAATTACATCCTGGGTCATCTTAAAAGTTGTCTTATGTATGATTATTATTATATTAAAGTAAGTCAATGGATACATACCAAGAAATCGGACAGTTCGGCGTACCAGTGGGTTTATATAGCAACAGTCTCCAGTTAAAATAGTTTTTTCCTGGTTTTCAAAATCCCTTGTTGCTAACTGTAGGCAAAACACGGCCGTTTCTCCAACTATTATCTTGCAAAGAAATAGAAGATTAAAGGGTGTTAGAGCTTCACTAGTGTGAAGGTTATTTTCATTTAAAAGGTAGTAACAATCTCAATGTAAAACTGAAGCACAGTCGCTAAGTAGACCCTTCGATATTCAGTTTGTCAGCACACATAAATCACATTTGTCTCAATTTTAGGAAATATTAAAATGACAGATTTTTAAAAATAAAAATAAACTATAATACCTGATATCTAAAAAAAATTCTTAAGGAAATTCTCAGTTATTCTGGTGTGAAATTTTCACCTTTGAAAAAGTGACTCTTCTCTAAAATTCAAAATATTTTCTATAATCAATGCATATATATTGTATATCCGCATATATGTATTAATAAAAATGGCACAGTGAACCCACTAATTTGTGCTGTTAGTTTTCATGAAGAGTTACAAAGTAAAAGATGATGATAAAATCAATTTTCTGCAAATATTTTTGCAAAGACCTTGTATAGACATGTTGATTTGAAAACATATCAATATAATACCTTTACTGGAAAAAGCAATTTGTGGATGTTTAACCTTGTGCTGATTCTATTTTGAGACATTTTAACAATTAGTCTATTATTTACACCTTACTAAAGTGTGTTACTTTAATCTTCATCAGACATATGAATGGAAATACGACCATACCTTTTTACAAGTGAAGAAGCCGAGTGTTTGTTCAGGACCTAGCTTTGGCCTGGCTTCCTTGTTCCTGCTTACCAGAACCTGGCTATGTTCTATTCATCATTGTTCAGTTGTGGTAGTTTCTACACATTTCCCCACTGAATTAGAGCAAGCTTTCCTTCATTTTACAGATAAGGACATGGAAACTTAGGGAAGTCAAATATTTAGTTCTCTTTCAGACTAATAAGAGGTCAAGCAGAAATTTTTGACTTAACCAGAGACCTCAGATTCCATTTAACATTATGGACAAAGGATAAAACATAACATTAATGAAGAAGTTTCAACAGGATGGCTCAGTAGGTAAAGTATAATGCAAATGTGGCTACCCGAGTCGGATCCCAGAACCCATGTAAAGAAGTAAAGAAAGAAATGACTCTCCAAAGTTATCCACTGACTTCCACAGGCACACCAAGGCATGGGAACCCACCCAATATTAAGAAATTAAAATAAATTTTAAATTAAAATTAAGCAAAAAAAAACTGGAGCCAATCATTTGCATTCTAATTTGTCCCTATTAGTTTTGGTTTTAATCTATCTTGTTAAGATTAATTAAGCTGGTCTATTGAGAGAACAGGTGCAAGCCATATCAGTTTGAAGAACAGGTACACGCTATGCCAGCCAGGAAAACAGACTTCTTGTGCCAAAAGAACAGATAGGAGAACTTGAACAGAGACTCGTTGCTGGACCAGAGAACACATAGCAGCCATAACTCCAAATAGGCGGCCACCAGGGAATCTCCTTCACTCTCTAGGTGCCTTTCTACTTTATCCTCAATATTTATTCTCCTTCTCATCATTATGCCCCACACCCAACTTCGGTGGATACACTCTGCTAGATCATCCACAGTGATCAAGTAGGATTTATCTGGAGATGCAGGGATGGTTCAGCATACAAAAATCTGTCAATGTAATCTACTTTATAAACAAACTGAAAGAAAAAAATACACATGATCATCTCATTAATGCTGAAAAGCCTTTGGCAAAATATAACACCCACTTCATGATAAAACTATTGGGTATATAATATAAGGTATATACCTAAGCACAATAAAGACAATTTGCAATAATCTTATAGCAAGAAAAAAACCTCAAAGCAATTCAGTTAAAATCAGGAACAAGACAAGGCTGTCCATTCTTTCCATATCTGTTCGATACAGTATTTGAAGTTCTAGCTAGAGTAATAAGACAAGAACAGGGGGATAGGGGATACAAATTGGAAAGAAAGAAGTCAAAGTATCACTATTTGTAGACGGTATTATGGCATATATAAGCAATCTCAAATATTCTATCAGGGAACTCCTACCGCTGATAAACACCTTCAGGAAAGTTGTTGGATACATGATTAACAAAAGAAAGAAAGACACAAACACACAATTTTTAGCCATCCTCTCTATAAATGACAAACTAGCAAATAAACTGAGAAAGGAATCAGAGAAACAACACCCTTTACAATATCCACAAATAATATGACATATCTTGGGGTAACTCTAACCAAGCAGTGAAAGACCTGGATGACAATAACTGCAAGCCTTTGAAGAAAGAAAGTGAGGAAGATATCAGATATCAAAAGACAGAAATATCTTCGACACTCATGGATCAGTAAGATTAACAATAATAAAAATGGCAATCTTATCAAAAGCTATCTATAGATTCAAAGCATTCCCCATCAATATTCCAGCACAATTCTTACAGATCTTGAAAGAACAATATTCAACTTCATATGAAACACAAAAACAAAACAAGATAGCAAAAACCAACCCCAGACAATGTAAGAACTTCCAAAGGTACCACTTCCCTAATTTCAAGCTATATTACAAAACTATAGTACTAAAAAACAACATGGTATTGGAAATAAAAGCAGACAGATTGTTCAATGGATTCAAATCAAAGACCCAGAAATGAATCCACACACCTATTGAACACTTGATTTTTGATAAATAAGCCATAGATGTGGGGAAAATCATCTTTGTTAAATGGTGCTAGACTACCTGGATGTTGTCATGTAAAAGAATGCAAATAGATCCATATCTATCACTCTACACAAAACTCAAGACCAGATGGATCAAAGACCTCAACATAAAACCTGATACACCAAACCTGACAGAAGAGAATGTGGATAACAGCCTTGAACACATTAGCAGAAGGGACAGCTTCCTGAACAGAAAACCAATAACACGGGTACCGAGATCAACAATCAATAAATGGGACTTCATGAAACTGAAAAGTTTCTGTAAGGCAAAGGACACTGTCAAGAGGACAAAAAGTTAGCCCACAGAATGAGAAAAGATTCTTGCCAACTCCACATCTGATAGAGGGTTAATATAAAAAAGTATATAAAGAATTCAAGAAACTAGTCATAAACAAACCAAATAATCCAATTAAATAGTGGGTTACAGACTTAACCAGATAATTCTAAATGGAAAAATCTCAAATAACAACAACAACAACAAAAAAGAAAAACTTAAGGAAGTGTTCCAACATCCTTAGCCATTAGGGAAATGCAAATAAAAATGACTTTGAGATTCCATCCTGTCAAAATGGCTAAGGTAAAAATTACAAATGCTAGTTCATGCCGGTAAGGTTGTTCAGCAAGGAAAACACTCCTCCACTGCTGGTGGAAGTGCAAAATGTACAGCCACTGTGGAAATCAATAATGGTAATTTCTCAGAAAATTGGGAATCAATCTACCTCAAGATCCAGCTATCCCATCTTTTGGTATGATACTCCATCTTACCACAAGGACATGTGCTCAACTATGTTCATTGTAGCTTTATTTGTAATAACTAGAAACTGAAAACAACCTAGATGTACTTGAACCAAAGAATGAATTAAGAAAATGTGGTACATTTTACACAATTTAGTATTACTTAGCTGTTAAAATAATGACATCTTGAAATTTGTAGGCAAATGGATAGAACTAAATAAACAATCATCCTAAGTGAGGTAACCCAGGTACAGAAAGGCAAGCATGGTAAGTACTCACTTATAAGTGGATATTGTCTGTAATAGATAATCATACTATAATCCTTAGACTCAAAGAGGCTAAGTAGCAGTGAGGGCTCAAGAGGAGAATGCATGACTCACCCTGGGAAGGAGAAACAGAATAGATTTTGTGGTCTAACTGGAGGCAGGTTGCAGTGAGAGTAACAGGGATCAGAAGTAAGGGAAGGGACTAGTAAGAGAGACTGGAACAGAGAAAACATTTCAGCGGTGAGGTAGAAACCTAGTGGAATGGAAACGCCCAGGAATCTACCAGGGTGATCCTAGCAAAGCCTTGGCAGATATAGAGCCTGAACAAACCATCTTCTATAACAATGCAAGACTCCCAATGGAGGGACTCAGACACCAACTCAGCTATAAAACCTTCGGTCTACAATTTATTGCCTACAAGATGTGCTGAGGTAAAGGTAGTGCAGAACTTGTGAGAGTGGCCAACCAATGACCAGTGCAGCTGGAGACCCACACCATGAGAGGGAGCCTACACCTGACAAGCAGAGATTGGATGGCTCAGAGACCTGGGACAGGATCAAATTGACTGGGAAAAAGTAATCAATGAAATGATCCCTAATGATACTCTGCTATACTAGTAGATCAGAGCCTAAAATAGTAGACTAGCAGACTAATTTCTGCAAAAGGGAAGAAAGGATTGTAGGAGCCAGAGGGATCAAGGACACCACAAAAATATGACCCACAGAATCAATTAATCTGCACTCATAGGGACTCACAGAGAGTTAACCAACAGCCAGGGAGCCTGCATGGGACTGACCTAGGCCCTCAGCATATATGTTTCATTTGTTCAGCTTGGTATTCTTGTGGGACTCCTAACAGTGAGAGTAGGGAATGTCTCTGGCTATTTTGCCTGCTTTTGAGACCCTTTTCCTCCTGTTGAGTTGCCTCACCCAGCATTGATTTAAGGATTTGGGCCTAGTCTTATTGCAACTTGTTATGTCATATTTGGTCTATATGCCTAGGAGGGAAAACTGTGTTTGGGAAGCAATATATGAGAGAAGAAAGGGGGGGGGAGGGAAGGAGGGAGGGAGGGAGGGAGGGAGGGAGGGAACAAAACAAAAAAAATGTTCCTCTAAGGAGTCCCTGGCATTCCCTATGTACTATAGTTTGCTTATGTCCCCCTGAATTCATACACTGGAAACTCATTCCCCCAAGAACTGTGTGCCCCCTGTTTGGTTATCAGACAAATGACAGAACTGTTCCAAATAAACCCAACTTTCCCCAGCCACTGAAAGGGACTTGGCTCCAGTAAAGAGATGGTGCAGAGTCCTGAGAAGCTGATGGGTAAGACCACACACCA